TGCCACTTTGCCAAAGATAAGTGAACTGTCTGAGGACACACCCCATGCAGGGCCCCTGAGTAATGGAGCAGACAAAAAGAAGGGGAAGAAAAGCTATGATTTCAAGACTGGAATAGAGAAAAGCTTCCCGGCACAACAGGACCACGGTCGGACCATCCCCAGCTGTGCAACATAACTACATCTTCAGCTTCTCAAGTCTTTCATGAAATCTAATTTTCCGTCAATATCCCCCCTCCACTCAAACTCGAGTACAGAATAAGAGTAAGTCTATTTATATCATGCTGAAATATTTATTCCCCAAGGGAGTTTGATTCTAAATGGCAGAAACATTTTCATATCTTTCAAAATACCATAAAACTCAAAAGCTTTGGAAAATACTTTCTGGTATGGTTAGTAAGGGGTTGTAGAAAGCACATAGGACTTTGTGGATTGAGATGATGCATATAAAGTCCTTACTCTAGTGCTTGGGGCACAAAGAAAGGGCTCCATAAACACCAGCTTTTATTATTGTCACTTTTATTATTCCTCTCTGCAAACCTACTTATAAAAGAGAGGATACGTTGCCCCTCTAGGGATAAATGCCATAGAACTGAGCAATTGGCTTTTATGGTGGGGTTATACAGCCAGGCTGTGTGAGCTCTAGGTTTTATGACAAGCATAATACAATTAAACCTTATTCTAACACAACTTTTATGTCCAGTAAATGCAGATCTTCACCAATCCTGTGAAGTGGAAAGTTGAGGAAGAATTTGACAAAAAAAAAAGAAAAACATAAAAATCCCAATTTTTTGTTTTTTAGGGGCTAAATCACAGTAACTCCACTGGCTGGTAGTACACAGAAGACATTCATTATTTACCACTTTATAGGAAACTCTGATATCAATGGGGAGAGCTTTGGCTCTCTCTATACAATTTATGAAGCACAGTTTTATTAAAGAACCCAGAAAACAACTCTCATGGAAAAAAAGTTATCAGCTCCTGCTAATACATTCTAGCACCTTATAAATTACATTCTTATGAAGCAAGGTTAATTTTCACCATTTTTAAACATCTAATGTCTAAACAAAAATAAATATCCTAAAGCTGAATCCATGCTTTTCAAATACAATGTCCAAATTTGGTCAAAAGTCATAATAAGACAACATAAAGAAAGAGGGCTTTCTTAATTGGCTAATCCTAATTAATTTCTGTCTCCTCCAATTTTTCTGGGTATACACCTGCATCTTTGCATGTATTTGGGCAAAAGAGCTACTCAATTTCATAGTCACTGGGTCCTTTGGCTCATGATTTAACAGGTCATTCTCTCAGTAGTGAATGGCTACTATGTACCTTAAGCAATGTTACAGACAAAATTCAGCTGCCCTAAACTAGTGGTTCTCAAGCTTTAACACTCATCAGAATCACATGGTGGGCTTACAAAAAGGAAGACTGCTGCACCCAACTCCCAGAGTTCCTAATTCAGCAGGTGTGTGGTGGGGCCTGATTATTCTTTTTCTAAAATGTCCCTGGTGATGCTGATGCTATGGGGCTGGGGACCACACTTGGAGAACCACTGACTGCCCCAAGCAAAAGGTACTTACTATCCTGCAAGAGAGATAAACACAGACAAATATAAGGCAAAATGTGGTGGGCTTATGAGAGAGACACTAGATATATTGTGGTTCAGGGTAATGGCATTTCTGAGCTGCAGAAGATCTGGTGAGGACAAATGAGCTGGGACTTGAAGGATAAGCATAATACATTATGACAGGAAATTACCAGTAGGGCAAGGAGGATGAAAAAGGAAGGGGGCAGAAAAAAAAATCTGGTGAAAGGCAAAGTAAGAGCAAAGGCACACAGGAAGGAAAGGATGAGCCATGATCAGAATACACCCAGAAGTCCAGGACATAGTGAAAGATAAAGCCAGAAAGGTTGGTTGCAACCACCGGAGAGATCTAGAATGCTGTGCTATGTGTATGTTAGACTGCAGGCCTGTGACTCTTCAGATATGGTACATACACCTCCAGAGCAGGGTTTGTCCTCCTTGGCACTACTGATCTTTGGGGCTGGATAACTCTTTGCGGGGGGCTGTTCTGGTTGTTGTAGGATGTTTAGCAGCATCCCTGGCCTCTACCCACTAGATGCAAGTAGCACCTCCTCCCCCAGGCGTGACAATCAAAATGTCTGCAGACATTGTCAAATGTCCCCTGGGGGCAAAATCCATACCCCACCCCAATCCATAGAAAACCACTACTATAGAGAGTATGTGGCAGGCAGGGGCAGGGAGCAGGGATATTTATAGCCCGTGAGATTAACATGGTGATTCTTCCTAAAACAATTTTAATCGAAAGTAAGTCATTTAAAACATTTGTATAGTAAAATAAGAAAACATTAAGGAAGAGGAGGATGCAAAATATGAAAGCAAAAACATGAGAGTTAATAAAGATTTCATAATTGCATCAGGTTACTGCAGGTTCAACCCAGATCTTCACTGGATCTCTTAAATGTCCCAAGCACTGGTGTCCACACCTCTGTAAAAAGTCAGATTATCACCAGGTATAGCTCAGTATATAAAGAAAAAGGCCAGGGCTCAGAAACAGAAGACTGTGTGTGAGTTCAGTTCAGTTCATACCAATGTCATCTTGAGCAAGTCACTTCATTTTTCTGGGCCTCAGTTTCCCAATCTGTATAACAAGGTTTCACTTGAGGCTCAAATGGTGTAATACATGTGAAAAAGTACGCTCAAAGCCATATGGTGCCATACAAGTAGTAATTCATTTTTACATAAACTTATGAGATTATCATTTTAAAAACAGGACCCTTAGAAATAGTTCTATTATTATTCTGAAATTTTAATACATCAGTTATACCCAGAATCATAACTCTCTGATTTCATTTAATAGAATTTCCATAAAAATCTTTTCAAATTAACACAAATAATGGGCTGATCTTCCAGGTAATTTCCAGGTAATTTTGGGAATTGAAGAAACCACCAATTTAGACAACTTCAAAATCACGAGCATCAAATATCCCACAAAGGGCTTTGATAAAAAAGTTAGAATATTATTAAACTAATTTGCACCTTGGCTTCCCATTAAACAATGAATTGTTCTTTTACAAAGTAGTTTAAGATTATACATGGTATTTCAGAAGTTGAAATATAAAATTGGTGGCTTCATTAGGGCTGTGCTACTTTTATGCTCAATGGAATCAGAAACACCTACCGTCCAACTACATTAACAAGATTAACTACTTTTCCAAGAAAAGTGTGTTTTATGAACTCAAGCCTGAAATTTGAAAAATGGAGTTATTCATTTTGCAAATAGCTCACTAACATCATAAATTAATTAAACCAAGCAGCAAATATTTTCACAGATCAATGAGTTATTGCTAAAGGGTACAGTACAATTAAATTACAGCCTTGGTTAAATGTCATTGCTTTATCACAGTGGGCCTTTCAGAGTTGAGTCATGTTAACTAATTCAACTATTCAACCAGAAGCTGTTTTACTTCCAAAATTTCCAAGTGTCAAACATCAATTCTACTTGGCAGCTGGCCTTTATGTTCAGCTCATATTACTTCTCTTCTGAGATTTACACATACTATTTTTGAATGCAAAGTAAGAATAATACTTTTGCAGGGGTAGAATGAATAAGAGTGAAAGAAGGGTACAGAAAATCACGCTAGAACTTAAAAATGAGCTTCTTATAGGCAACTTCACTCCAAAGATGATCTACAGCCCCAAAATGGTGACAGTTTTGCCTCAAGCACAGGGAGTGATGATGGCCAAAAGGCCTGACCTGTTCTTCCTCCTCTAGGCTTCTAATATATGTGATTCTATGTCCCAGTCAAAAAACAGGCTAATAATAAAAGGGAAAGCATCTGAGTGTGGGAACAAAGGAGAAGACAAGGCCAGAGTGCCCAGTTCAAAGAAACTGTATTTATTGTTCATGTCATCGGGTCATACTTAGTGTCATAGTGCATGCTTAAGCACCCTTGTACCTTTGGAGGATGTTCTCTCACCCCAATGAGGACTAGACTCACAGCAGTCCCCAACCTTTCTGGCACCAGGGACTGGTTTCATGGAAGACAATTTTTCCATGGATGGGATGGGGGTGTGGGGAGGGGTGCCAGGGTGCAATGGGGCAAGGGGGAACAGCTGTAAACACAGAGGAAGCTTCACTCGCTGCTCACCTCCAGCTGTGTGGCCCAGGTCCTAACAGGCCATGTACTGGTTGGTACTGGTCCTCAGCCTGGTGACTGGGTACTGCACAACTAGAGGACAGTAAGCATCACCTACAACAAAAACCCCAGTGTACCAGATCTTTTCTTTCTACTGCTATGGATCTACTCTCCACCATTCTCCATCCTAAGAAGGCTGACTTATTTCGACTTGGGACTAGCCAATGGGAGGCACAGGCAGGAGACCCAGGCTGCTGCAAGCTGGCTGGTTCCTGAACCAAAGGCCATAGTTCCTGTTAGGTGACCCTCTCCTACTACTGTCCTTTAAGGCCTCGGGGGTGATAATAACTTCCAGTGGGATTGTACCATCCTTTCTTGGTTTCTCTCAATCCTGTCCACACCCTTGTAAATTGTCCCTTACTTTAAATCTCTTCAATTACATTTGAGAGTGCTCTCTACCTATGGGCAGGACCCTGACTGATTGATCCACCAAAGCCCTTCCATTAAATGTGCCTCCACCTGCATTTCCTCCTTTATCTTAGTCATCCCTAAATGAGAGGAGACCTCAAAGAGGCTCTAGAAGGCTTATCTCCCCTCCTCAGCGATAAATACAGTGGCATACTCTCCAGAAAAAGATAAAGAATTGAGTCCAAATCCTTACTATTATTTGGCACAGAACAAAATTAATATTAATAGCAAAGGGAAACCCTAGAAAAATATGTAATAAGAGAATTTACCTGCATTAATTAGATCTGCATCAGCTTCATGCTGTAATGGATATGGACCCTGTCAAACACAGCACACAATTAGCAAAAGAATATTCTCACTGAATCACATATTAAAATTGTAATATAAATAACTTTCCTAAAAACCCTATGAAGTTATCAACCAAAGACTTGAGGTGAACCTTTTAAAATTAATTCTGATATGTTCATGGCTCTGTTTTTCATATTAATTTGTCTTTTCTACCCTAATAGTCGTAATTAGACAAATGAAAAATGTTTTCTAAAATTACCCATTTGAAAGAAATGTTATACTGTTAGACATACAGGCCAATAATACAAAAAGTAATTATTTAGTATCTACTATACAGCCTATATTATTCACAAACTTTTCTGGTAGGATCAATGAACGCAAACTAACATTGCATTATTTGGCTAGAAGGACCTACAGAGGCAAAGTTTCAGCTTTCTCACGTAAAACACCTAAAGGCCTGAATTGGGAGTTGTAATCTTATCTCTCATTACATCTAAGTTTTGATACACTTCTGTCCTAATGTTGCCTCTGCTCGATTATTCTCAGTAAGTCTTTATTTTGGCATATATTTTTATGAGGCAATTCTATTTATTTGAATGGGGCAAGTCGTTTCATAACATAATGCATATTAAGCAAAAAGGGAGGAAAAGGAAATAGGGAACAGAAAAAGGCATAAGAAGGATCCAAGAATGAGGAAGTATTGGCTATGAAATTTTTACATACTTTCTAAAGAGGGAACAAAAATTTATCCTATAAATAAACTGAAGTGGCAACTAATATTTTAGATCTATGTAAACTTTCCTTTAAATATTGGCCATGGAGAATTCACATAAACTTATATCTCTCGTCTTCCAAATCAGGGAGTTGATCACTCTAGATAATCGCTAAGGTACCTTAAAAGTGCAAGTCTTTGACTTCAGTATGAATCTGCTCTTATCCAGATACATGTCATTTTTGTGTCTTTGAAAATATCACAATTACTGCCTCAATCGACCAGTATCCACTACATGCCCATGGTCATTATTTATATTTTAAATACTGGATATACATTTCCCATATGTGCAATTTCTATTACATTAACACTTAAGAGCTACAGAGAAATAATGAAAGATTTAGGAATATTATAAATTGGCAAACCATAAATAATTCCTGCCACAGTTAAGAATTAAATTAAAATTGTCATCTGGGAAGCAAAAATATTTCTTAATATTATTATAACATTGAATAAAACTATGGCCTAATTCTATAAGAAGATTGAGCTCATCTGGAAGGTTAATCTTGAAGAAGAGAAAATTCTACCCTTTTGGACAATACGCCCTCGAAAGGAGAATTAGATGAGAAATTCTAAGACTTTTTGAGGTAATCAACTGTCAAAAAATGTCCCTTTCCAAAAGTAGAAACCTATTCTTTAGTTTCTCGTTTTGAGCCTGATTTTTATTAACACAGAATTGTTAAGAAACTTCATTATCTTATCCAACCACAAAAGAGTGAGAAATAGTTAACAAAACAAGAAATCATGAGGTCTCTCCAGAACGGGTACAATGTGGGACATGGCCGCTGACAGACTGACAAGGAGGAAGAGTCAGAAAGCTCACATAGGCAGGACACTACCACAATAAACAACACTACAAGCTCACGATTAACGTTTTCAGGGAAAAGGTAAATATTTTATTACGAGGATAAAAGTAAAAAGAGAGAAAAGTAAGGTTGGGAACATTAAGCTAACAACTCTGTTATCAGAAGATTTTACTACACGAAATCTCTCATTCTCCATCAAGATTGGATAAAGAAAACTTTATTTCCATCTTACCAAACCCAGGACTCCATTTTCACTTTGAAGATGAACAGTCATATTTGGGCTAATAAAGTTGCTGGCCAGAAGAGGGATTCCTATGCCCAAATTAGCTGGAAAAAAAGATGTTAAGGCCCAACATATAAAAGGTAGAGAGATTGTACCATAAATCTTCTACATATGTAAATCTGAATAGAAGTCTTCTTTAAAGGGAATTTGCTCTGAATGTAACAACTGATTATATTCTTCATTTACCCTCTCGGCATTATTTTGTAATTTTTCAAAAAGAAAATCTCACAGATTTTTCGACAACATTAATATGCTTTGCCACAAAGATATCAAAATGGTACCTTCGGAAGCTAGCCAAGAGATCATTTTAGCAAAAATGTAGGACTATTTTATTTTCATTAATGTGCTTAGCAACTTTGGATTGATATATTATTAAACATGGCTTGACCTTTGTTTAAAAATGATTTTCATTATTCAAAAGTCCCACTAAAAACAATCATCTTTATCGATAAATAAATTGGGCTACCCTTTTTATTTATTTATTTTTTTGAGACAAGGTCTTGATCTGTTGCCCGGGATACAGTGCAGTGGTATCATCATAGCTCACTGCAACCTCAAACTCCAGGGCTCAAGAGATCTTCCTGCCTCAGCCTCCCAAGTAGCTGGAACTATAGGCGCCCACCAACACACCAGGCTAATTTTTGTGTTTGTTTTGTAGAGACAGGGTCTTACTATATTGCTCAGGCTGATTTTGAACTTCTGGCTTCAAGTGATCCTCCTGCCTCAGCCTCCCAAAGAGCTAGGATTACAGGTGTAAGCCACCGTACCTGGCTCCCATTTTTAAGTTTACAAAAAGTTTTCTGACAGTACCAGAATGTCTGCTGAAAAGTATAGTAGCTCCTTTGGATCTCTGTGGCAGCATTCACTGGTAACTGAATTTTCTCTGAGACATAAAAAGAAGGGAGTGAAGGAATTAAGTTTTAGCAAATACAAATAAAGTAGCTGTGTTAAGGCACCAAAGAGTTAACTGAAAGTGTTGAATCTTTTTCCTTAGATGATCAAAACAGGATCAACCCTGATTCATACACAATGGTGTGGGTTCAATCCTGCCTCTCAACACAGGCAGGCTCACAGATTGGGGGTCCTTACACTGCCTAAAACTGCTGCCCACGACCACTGAAAACAAAAGACCTCATCGGAATTAGTCCAAAGAATGATGGTGTGCTGATGAGATTCTAGTAACACTGAAATCTTTATGAATCAAGGCTAGAAAAAATAGAGTTTATATGTAATGCCATATTATAAAGTACAAAGGCCAGCATGACAACCCAATGACCCAGGACACTGTGGACACAATAAGTCCATAATAGCTACTTAGTTTACCTCTTAGCAAATCACAGGCTACTACAATATTATATGTACTTCATTTCTTCTGAGTAAATCAAACACTAGGGAGAAAAAAGTCTGTGTACTCTGGGTTGAAAAACAGTAGATGATATGGAAGGATCATTTATATGAATTGACTTGCAAATATTTTTCATAAGCAATACAATAACAGTGAATAAAGAACACCTAGAAGTCATTATAACCTAATAATCTGTGTTACAGTCAGTATTTAAGCATTAATGTAAGTCAATCGACATGGGTTGAGAAGAAAGCTCAGTGACTCATTTTCACCTATTAAGTCAAGTTGGTTGACTCCCTATCTTGCTGATACAAGAGCTGGAATAGAGGGAACATGATATTCTCTTCCCCTATGTGAATTCTCAGCATAACACAAGGGATAAACTGAGAAATAAAGAAAAATGAGGAGAAGGTAAAGAGAAAGGAGAAAAAGAATGTTCTCCCAGTCAAGATCTCAGTCTGAAAGACTGATATTCATGGACTGGGGAAGCTCACAGAGTGGAAACACTTGTCATGTTTATAATTCTTCCTGTCCTAGTTCTTTAAGTATGGCATTACTGTATCTGTCATCCAACAAATATTTATTTTATTATATGCTATTTGTATCTCTATGTATTATTTGTGTTATATAGTTCAATGTCTGACATATTGAAAACTAGCAAAATGGTGAACAGACCTACTGTTATTTAAATGCATTCAAAATCCAAATACTAATTGTACTAAATTATGTCTATCCTACCTCTTTTTTGACAAAGTATCTAAAGCAGAATTTGAATCATTCATTGAATACCTTTACAAAACATTGGACATAAAAGGGTACATTCATGGGATTTTTGTCAAAGGAAGAAGAAGATCATAAAGAGGTTGGATTTTGTGTTTCAATGGGTATACAAATGTCAAAATATAGAGAAAGTAGATAGCATTGGTTTTCACTAGTAATTTTGAGATTTGAAACCTTCATCTTTGGTAATTTCTTTTCCCAATAATCTCTAGCTAAATGCCAAATTGCTCTGAAATCCACTGTATACTAGAAAATAGATAAGCAAAATTTTGGTTGCCATTTTGTTTCAAAAAGGCAAACATTATATAAATTTTATATATCTTGATATTTTCGAGTTATATGCCAAATTTTGATAAAAAGGTATTGTTCAACTGCTTTAAAAGTTACTACAGACTAGAAATGAATCACTATGCAGAAGGCCTAGTAGCCTGACCAATATGGGAGAGAGAAGAGCTATGTCTTTGCCCAGTCACAAAAGGATAAAGGATACCATACATGCCGT